AGGGGGATGAAAAAGAGAGGCCAATAAAAGGTAGAACAAGTAGATGATAGTTTGAGTGAAGTTACTTGTAGTGATTTGATGATGTCTCCCCGGCAACGGCGCCAGAAATTCTTTTTGCTACATGTGAGCTGCGTTGGGATTTTCCCCGAAGAGGAAGGGTGAAGCAGTACAGTAGAGATAGGTATTTCCCTTGGTGAGAAAAAGTTTATCAAACCAAAAGGAGAACCACGCAAATCCTAGTGAACAACAGCTGCACACAGAAAAGCAAATACTTGCACCCAACACGGGCAAGAGGGTTGTCAATCCCCTTGAACTCGTTACTTGCAAGGATCAAATCTTGTATAGGTAGATAGACAAATTTCAAAAGAAAATAGAAGTAAATAAATTGCAGCAAGGTATTTTTGGTTTTTATAATATGATTAAAGTAGACCCCGGAGGCCATAGTTTTAACTAGAGGCTTCTCTCTCTCGAAACAATAGCATACGCTGGGTAAACAAATTACTGTTGAGCAACTGATAGAAAAGCACATAGTTGTGATGTATTCATGGCAATGATCATGTATATAGGCATCATGTCCGTGACAAGTAGACCGACTCATGCCCTCATCTACTATTATTACTCCACTAATCAGCCGCTATCCAGCATGCATCTATGGTATTAAGTTCATGACAAATAGAGTAATGCCTTAAGCAGGATGACATGCTCTAGACAAAGTAAACTCAAGCAATATAATTAAACCCCATCGTTTTACCCTTAATAGCACCAATATAATGCGTACCTCGCTACCCCTTCTGTTATTGGGTGAGGACACCGCAAGATTGAACCCCTACAAAGCACCTCTCCCTCTGAAGATAAATCAGTCTAGTTGGCCAAACCAAACGGATATATCAGAGAGAAATACAAAGCTATAACAATCATGCATAATAAAGTTCAGAAGGCTCAATTACTTTCAATGAATAATATGATCATGAACCCACAGTTCACCGGATCCCAACAAACACACCGTAAAAAAAGATTATATCGGATAGAACTCTAAGAAGATCAAGGAGAACATTATATTGAAGATCAAAGAGAGAGAAGAAGCCATCTAGCTACTAGCTATGGACCCGTAGGTCTGTGGTGCTTACGCATCATCAGAAGGCAGCAAGGATGATGTAGAGCCCTCCGTGATCGATTCCTTCTCTGGTAGAGTACCGAAAAAGGCCTCCAGATGGGATTGCAGGAGAACACAAGCTTGCGGCGGTGGAAAAAGTGTTTCGGTGGCTCTCTGTTGGTTTTCGAATATTCATGAATTTATGGAGGTGAAATTAGGTCAAACGGAGTTGCGTGGAACCCACAAGCTCAGGGGCGCGCCTACCCCTTGGGGCGCGCCCTGTGAGCTCGTGGCTCTCTCGTAGGTCTTCTGACCTCCTCCTGGACCTTCTAGGGTCACTTTTGGTCAAGAAAAAATCACCGTAAAGTTTCATCGTATTTGGACTTCGTTTGGTACTGATTTTCTGAAAAGCAAAAAGCAGTTCCTAAAAAATAATATGAAATAGCATATGAAGCATCCAAAATTGATAATATAATAGCATGAAACAATAAAAAATTATAGATACGTTGGAGACGTATCAGTTAGCATCAAGACTAGTATAACACACTACACGGTAGTACACATGGATCATGAAGTTTAACACAACACCATGGATCTTCAAGCTCAAAGCATACCATGAACTTTAACACACTACCACACCTACATATCAATCATACTTGCAAACTAGCATACTCCACATGTTCTTATTCACAAGCTAATATAACATCTACCATAATATCATCATTGCCGACATGGAAAACAACATGAACATGATGATACAACTCAAACATATCTATAACTTCTGTTTGTTCCATGCCATATTTTTGTTAAATTAGCATACTTTTGGCACCTATTTAAATCAGTTTATATTATTTTTATGGAATAACCTATTAACTCATTGCCCAATATCAGCTATTGTTTTCTATTGTTTTTGGACTTTGCACAAAAATAAATTTTATCGGACTCAAAAAAAATGTGAACTATTCAAGTCTAGAAGCTTTCGAGGAGCACTGACATAGGCCAGGGGTACACACAGGGCTCCATGCCCTTCCCCTGACAAACAACCGAGGGGGTAGATTCGTTCATCGGGAGCAGCTCGCCCTAGCGACCAAATTCGTTCGATCAACCCCTCCCTCCTGGCGAATGGTCGCAAGTAATTCGGGTCCTAAAAAATACACATCTCTACCCACTTGCTTTGTTTCTAACCGAAAACACTCATGCTTGGTAAGATATGCTTGACTAGTTAGGTCTAATTCCGCCAAACAAACTCTTTTTCCTTTCGAGAGGCCTTCACAGGGAGGTGACAGTAGGTCAGGAGCGGCTATGAAATATATATTTTTTTGACCAATACAGCCAAAAGGCATCTTAAATTTGATTAATATCAAGAAAAGCATATGTAGAACGACAACTAAAAATAAAATGACATTAAAAAGTATACTCGTTTCTTATTGTACACCGCCCGCCGAAGATTAGAAATTGTATTGAACCAACAACAAAAAAAAGCGATACGTACAAACGCCCTCATCATACCAAACTTTAAACACTGCAATAGTCACTCGCCCCTTGAGACAAGATATAAAAAATCGGTAAAAAGCAGCATCGGTTGGAGCATCATTCACGCAGAACAGGTTTACAATTCATCACCATAGATTTAGAGGGTTGGAGAAACCGGATCAAGCCACAAACCAACACACAAGATGTCAAAGTCGCCACACCAATAAACAGTCAAAAGCTCTTCTTAAAAAACACACGGACGCCCAAAATCTGAAGGGAACCAATCCGGACACAAACTCTTACACGTCCTTCGTCGGCAGCCGATCTGACGTTGTAAGAGCATCTCCAACAGGCGTGCAACGCGCGGCGCGCTAAAAAACGTTTACAGTGCTAGCGTAGCCAGTTTTTGCGCGCCGCAGAGCACTGGCTCCAGCGGCCGTTGCAAAAAGTTGCACGCGCGCCGCTCCAGGAGACGCCCGCTATATTTTTTACTACTCGTCGTCTTCTCCTTCGACACCGACTCGACACACATTCGACACCGACTCGATACTCCATAGATAGGCATAGATAGATAATAAAAACGATACATAGATAGTTCATAGCATAGATAGATAAAAAAATAGTTCAACTACTCGTCATCATCCTCCTCCTCCGACACCGACTCTGACTCGGCGATGTCCTCCTTCTTCTCCTCCTCCGACTCAATGAAGGCGTCAAGATACCGCTCGTCTTTGGAGTCCCATGTCGACACTTCTCCTAGCTCGATGTTGAAGAGAATGGCCGCCTTCCGCGTACGCATGTCCTTGCGATAGGCGGCTCGCTCCACCCTCCTCTCCTCCCTCTCCGCCATCCTTTACGCGTAGAACTCGTGCTCGTTGACGATGTCCCGCGGGAAGCGTTGGCGCCACAGCGCCATGGCTTCCTCGTCCATCTCGGCGATGCCGAGACAGCGCTCCCGCCTCCGGTTGTCGCGACGGTCCTCGTCAGTGATAAGCCGCGGGGAAGGTGCGAGCTCCTGCGCCCGCTCCCGCGTCGGCATGTCGAGGAAGTTCATCTCCCTACGCGGCCACTGGAGGCGCCACGTTGCCGCGTCGTACACGCGGGCGGCCTCGTGGGTGATGTCGAATGTGCCAGGGCTGAGGCGCATCTCACCGGACCGGAACTCGGCACAGAAGAAACTAGAGGCGCGCAGACGCCGCGGTAGCCCGAACTTCCCCGACGGCGACAAGGTGAGAAAGAGAGCAGCAGAGGGCTCATGGCAAGGCGAGGGCGTGTAGGAGCGGTGGAAGGGCACGTGGAGGAGGCGCTGAATTTATAGTGCGCTCCGAACGCCGCGCACCAAAACTAGCGCGCGGCGAACCACCTTTTCGCACGCGCCTGAAATAACAACCATATCATTTACAATTTTTGAAAGAATGAAGTCAGGGGGAAAAGAATCCCAATATTTTGAAGCTCTAGTACTAAAGCAATGTTTTGACAAGCAGTCAGCGATAAGGTTGGCTTCCCTACAGCATCGAACAAAACTAACGGTCCGAAGAAGCAAGAATAATACTCCCTCCGTCTAGAAATACTTGTCAGAGGAATGAATGAATTTAGATGTATTTAGTTTTAGTTTTAGATACATTTATTTTTATGCATTTCTCCGACAAGTATCTCCAGACGGAGGGAGTAAAACGACACGTGTCAAGGTGGCAACTGTGGCAGCTAGGGTTGGGAGGCGGCGGCGGCTGTAGCAACTACGCGAGACGGCTATGGAATATTCACCGTCATCACTCAGGCTCAGCCAGAAGCCAGCAAGGGAAGCAAACTCTATGAGTAAATACATGGCGGGTTAACAGACGCCTAGAATCCTAGCAAACAGATGCATCGCATAGATCGGAAAAGCGCACCATATTGCTGCAACAACGACCAGAGTCACCAGCAAGTTAAATTGTTGTCATAGATATCGCCAGATTATGATATATCGAGGTCTCCTTTAAGTCGAAAATACGACAGTACGTACTCGATAACGCATTCAACAGCTCCTAAGGCTAAGTTCCAGCTAAGTCAAACACAAAACGAAACAGTCTCGAAACGGTCACATGACTTCACCCTTCAGACACCCATAGCATCTGCAGACAACGATTCATCAGGACCCACCAAAGCCAACCAAGGCCTCAGTTCTCCTCGTCGTCGTCCTCCTCAGCATCCTCCCCATCAGATCCCTGCAAACATAGGAGAGCGATAAGCTACCCGTGTAAGTATGGCCAATACTAAAACTCAACACTAGTTGCTTTGCTGAACTGCAAAGACAGAGCTTACCTCTTCATCCTCGTCATCTCCTTCAAACTCTTCAACCTCCTGCAACAAGAGATCTTTTAAGGGCCAGGCATATAAGGAAATAAAATAAAATTATGAACCAAATCAAACATAATACTGACATTGTTGAAATATTTCAATGGGTTCGGCCACAAATCTTCTTTGATGATCTCTGCCACCTGCACAGTTCAAAAATCATAAGAATTCCCGTAAGCGTCTGCAAGACCAGAGAGCTCATAACACAAATTGCCAAATCATCAGGATAAATAAACACTACAAGTTTACTAGCCAAAGGCCAGACAAGTGAAATAATAATTTTGTTACCTCATCTTGCACCCCATCAGCAAGGCTCTTGTGCTCTGTATCAGTGAACCAGGTGAAGAAACTGCAAGAAAAACACTATATAAGCTTTTTTCAGTATATAAGCTTTTTTCAGATCTTGCCTAACAACCTCAGAAATCACAAATGAGACACGCAAGGTTCACAACAAAAAATGTTGTTCAACGTCATACTACCTGAGCATTTTTCTAGATGCTCATGCCATAGAAATTATAATGAATATGGCAGAACAAGATAGGAGGTACTCCCTCCGTCCCATAATATAAGGACATTTTTGACACTAGTGTAGTGTCAAAAACGTCCTTATATTATGGGACGGAGGGAGTACTTTCTAAATGACCCAACATCTATGAAATTCACGTTAATTTGGAAGTATATTAAGTGCATGCGGATATTAAGTAGGATATTATTTGCGTGTTATTATGTGATTAGCACTATTTTTGGCATGAAATTAACTGCACGCTAAACATGTTGAGTACTCGACATTGAAGCAGTCTAGGTCGTTGGATTGACATGATTTGATGGCCGAGATTAATTGGATCTGCCCCTTTGGGTCTTTTTATATTGGTATAGATAAGACCGCAGAAGGAACAACTTAATACAGCAGGGCACTAGTACAAGAGTATAGGGGGCTATAATACTACCTCTGTACCAAATTATAAGACGTTTTTGCAGCTCAATTTAAACTGCAAAGACGTCTTATATTTTGGTGTGGAGGGAGCAACACAATACAAGGTTCACATACTACTTAACAAAGCTAGACATTATTTTGGTGCCGCGGGAAATCTGTCTCAGGCTCTTAGCACAAGCATTCTTGAAGCAGCAGGAAGAACAGAAATGGAAGATAATTACACTTAGTTATAATTTATGCCAAGGAAAAGATGAAGATGAGCATGTGGGCCATAAAAAGCTCACAGGACTGAAAGAAATCAGGTAACACATATATGCGTGCAAAATGCTTGCAGCATTTTTATACACTTAATCATTTAAAGCATCAATTTGAATTCAATAATATTGTATATTTCCTACTTTCACGAAGACCTTGCACAATTGCTAATGACATTCAGTAGAGAAGGTCCAAAGTAACCCAGTTCCACTAGCTTTTCACAAAGTGCTATAGAATGAACGTCATCACAGCATGAAAAACTGTATATTTGATTATTTAGTCATGTGATAAGCAACAGTAATAATCATTCACCACCATTTTACCATAATACACATCCTACAGTGTGGTGTCAATGAATAGCACCAAATACTTCAACTTCACCATCCATCTGCAGCAATCATGGCAAGATAAGCAACTGACCTTTCTTCAACCAATGGGCGCTTGCTTCCTTTCTTCTTAATGGCATTCCCATTAATTTCCTGTGTATACATATGAGCATTAGACTTTCTCCATCCAAGCCAGTGCTAAGATATGTACTCCCTCCGTTCGGAATTACTTGTCACAAAAACGGATAAAAATGGATGTAATTCATCTAGATACATTCATTTCTTGGACGAGTAATTCCGAACGGAGGGAGTAACTTAGAGAGAGGGCACAATACCATTCCCTCCTTCCACTTAATGGAAGTGGCATTTATTGTGGTTGTTCCATCATCAGCAAAGGCATATGACTTGGTAAGCTTTCTGTCTTCAAAGTACGGATTCTCAGAGAAGTTCTGCATTTCAAAACAAAAAGGAGATAATGAGTATAATAAAGATGAATGTTTGAACGTCTTATCAACAATAGACTTTGAATTGGGCTGAAAAGGCCATTATTCGCCTTTCTTCACTAGCTCCCTTAAGCATAGGTTATGCCATTGTGGCATACAGCATTTTATCGGTTGCATCTAGTTTCTATTACTTCCTTTCGGCCTAGACACAAGTGATGCAATTAAGACATCATAATTCCCAAGAGGGAATGGTACTTACAAGAGTGATGGAGTAGCCTGACTTGACATCTTTAGAATCATCAACATCAACAGATTCCAAGTACTTGAACATCTATTATAACAGATAAAAAGTTACATAATATTTCAAATAAAACAGAAACCCGCTTCATATCAAAGAAATAAAATACCTTTTGATCCTCTTCAGTCAAAAGCTCACTGAGAAGAGGATGACTTAGAAACTGCAAGCAGCACATAACAAAATACGTAAGAATGTAAACATGTTGATTGGCAACTGCAACAAACATCAAAACTGTCATGTGTAATAAATAGTCTGCATACCGCTGTCAGCCAAAAGTCTGGAATTGTTTTGATGATGTCACACCTCCGAAGATAGACAGGTCTGCGAATCTCACTGTACTTCTGCTCAACCTCCAAAACCTTATCACTTGCTTCTTCATTAACCTGTTAGCAATGGATGAAATTAACATAAGCCTGTCCACTTCCCATTGGGCATCAAAAAAAATGCAGGTACAAAGAAGGTTTTACATGACAGCTTAACTTTAAAACGCAAAAGAAACTAGGAACAGGTATAAAAATAAGTATGGATGAACTCAACATCTCCTAATGGACTTGAAGGGCCATAAAAAGTGGAAGGTGAAAGTGGAGTCACTTTGGGATATCATATCAATGCTACGCCTGGCTCACGGGTAACCAAGCAATTCTTCCTGTTAAACTATAGGTCTAACTGAGTCAAATTCCAATGTCTCAGAATGATATGTTTTTTTCATTTTCCACTCATTTTTACTCCAATAAAAACTGCAGTCAAGTACGTATAGGTATAATGAGGATTAATTGCCCTGGTGGCAACAACCCGGTTAACGCCAGAAACCGAATACCATAACCTAGCCCAGAAGAAAATAGAACAAGCTGTATATATTGTGGGCAATATGAGCATACTATGTTTCTATTAACCAGACGAAATTGAATAACAGTTGGTCAAGGAATAACTGGTGAGTAAAATTGGCCGGGGAAGCAAATAGAACATCTAAACAACGCAGTCGATATCTTTCTGTTTGGTGTATTTGACAAGATACTATAGCGGCAAGACAGCAAAAATGCAAGCACCATAAATTGCCGCTTATTGTATTTGTCTAGATATGTCTAAATGAAGGAAAGCAACATACACACTATCTATACTCAGTAACAATTGACCTTTACATCCAAAATTTGGATAAAACAATTCAAACTCATTACTAACAGCTCCTTGCAAGAGGGTGGTAGCCAGTCTAAAATCCAGTTCTTGCAGACCACACTCGGGAACCAATATGGGGCCGAGAAATGAAAATCCAGACTTATTTCTGCAAGCACTTCCATCCGGGAAGTTCGCTTGCTAATTGACACCAACTTGACGTCACTAAGTTATTAGAGTTATCTTACTGACTAAGTTTGGACATACCAACCAAAAGAGGAGTAAGGCAATTGAATTTGAATAATACATTAGATGTTTTTTGCAATTCAAAATGTTTACTGATATGATGTAAACCCTCAAACCGCCTACCTATAAACTCTTGATTGCGTGTCCACTACGAAACCTGCTAAATAATTTGGCATACCATTGAATACTCTAAAATTTAAACTGTCACTTGCCAGAAGCTTACGCGTGAATCAGGCGATATAATACACTCGTCAGTTCCTATAGGTTCGAACGACAAAATTCGCAACATCACAGCTTTTGAGCAAGTACTGCCCGCAGTAATCACGCGCAGCTGCGACCACCAGTCCGCACAGCTACGCAACGAGTACCAGAGAAGTCTACCAAACCGTAATCAGCAACCCCTCCACTAAATTACGTACTCCGGAATTTGACGCAATCACCCGCTCCAATAAACCCACTTAGAAATCCAGTTGTGCATCCACCCCAACACTGACGACGCAACAAAATAGATCGAGAACTCAGAGAGGGGCAGCTCACCTTCTCGAGCTCGTCCTGGATCTCCTGGAGCCTCTCGATGGAGAGGACGAGGGCACCGTCGATCTGCTCGTTCTCCTCGCCGACGTCGGTGTCGGTCTTGGCCTTCTTCCC